AATTATAGAAAAAGTACATGTAGATAAATTAAAAAAAAAAAAATCTCTTACCTAATATATACAAGCAGCTTGTTGCCCATAACAACTTGCTCATCTAAAACAGAAAAAGTATCTTCAGCAATTCTCTCAAAACCTTTTCAGAAATAAAATCTTTATGTGGAAACAAAAAATAAAACTTGGCATTTGAGTTAAGTATCTTCCTAAAGAATACATAGAGAAAAAACCACCTTAATTCTTGTTTTTAGAATTTCCATTAGATTCTTTTCACAGACAAAAAAACCAATGAGTCAATGAAGCATACAGAAGAAGGAATACATCTGAGGGTAGAGAACCATATATTGTTGGCTTAACCAATAGTTTGGGACCAGGGTAAAGTGTAGAGCAGGCAGTTAGTTGATGAGTTAAAGGTCATGACCAATTAAGTAATATTAAGGACTAATAATGTCTTCTCATCTGTAACATGGACTCTTATCACCCACTGTGCTCTAGGGTTGTGAAGGCCACTGTTCACAAATGTTTAAAATAAGAGACTTAGATTAAATGATCTTTAGGACCCTTTTTATTCTAAGTTACATCTAAAAAGTAAGATTCTGTCACATGATAATATAAGTCTATCTCTTGGTTAAAAGAAATCAGAAGTATAATTATATCAGGTGTAGGCAAAGGGGTCAAGGGCAACAAGACAATAAAGTAAGAGCCTCAAGAGTGGGTGAAGTGACCAGTAATTCTTATGGTGTGCAGATTATAGGAATTTGCGATTGGTTATAATAAACTGAAATTTCTACTTTTGGTATATGAATAGTGAGCATAATGTAAGCAAGTGTACATCTCTTAATCAGTAATCCTTTCTAAATACAATAATGCCTTGCATTGTGAGTAACTTGTCCTGTGAGTGTTCCACGAGACAAGCAAACATTTCTAATAAATTTTAACTTGATAAACGAGTGATGTCTTGCAATATGAGTAGTACAAGATGCTGAATGTCACATGATCACAACTGACCCAGTGGTTCTTCTCTCTTTCACTTGCAGGATTGTGGGTGATCGTCTCCCATTGCTCAGATGCTCAGTCTCAGGCCACGGTGTTTGGCAGTAATCTGTGATTTTTCAGAACAGTGGAAGGTGCCCACAACTGGCACTAGTGTATTTTTTGTCACTTCAAAGCACCTATGGACAGTCCCTTGTTTTTCCATACAATAGCTTAGCAATGCTTTGCTTTATTCTAGATTAGGCTGCCTCCAGATATAGACCCTTTCCTCTACTGCCAGCTACATTAAATATAGTATATGCCAAGAGTTTATTAATACTGTACTGTAGCCAACACCCATGCGAGCATATACAATGGACTACATGCAGAAAAAGGCTGAAAAGAAAGGCGGTAAGAAGGAGATGATTACAATGGAAGTTAAGAAGGAAATCATCGAAGTATGAATGAGGTATGCAAGTGGCCGATATTGCAAGATTTTATAAGAAGTCTGTGTCTGCATCTCACCTGCAGAGAAGGAGGAGAAAAAGGCAGAGAAATCCCTCACTTCAAATGAGATTAGGGAGATGTATAAAATGTGGGAAAAGTACAAAATTTTGTAGAAAAGCACTACCCAAATAAGGCTGTAGCAGTGAGAGCAATGAATCTATTTAACAACAATACAATGTCACATTTCCACAAAATTCTCAAAAGGAGGCAAAAGAAAGCGTCACTGGATAGGCTCCTTGTTAAAGTTGCACAAAACAAAAAAGATTCCACTGAGGCAATAAACAGCAGTGATTCCATCAGTGATAGTGAAAGTCGTCCTGCACAATAACCCTCCTCTCTCATCTCCCTCACAGCAGCCATGAAGGTTTTCAAAAGTAAGTGCAGTTTAATTTATTTTCCTTTCTATATTGTATTTTCTTTATTATTTTGTATTATATTACAGTATTATAATCATTTTTATATGCGTATTTTTGCGTTGTGGTATGAATCATCTGAGTTTCCATTATTTCTTCTGAGGAAATTCACTTTGGTATACAAGTATGTTTCCAGAACAAATTATGCTCGCAAACCAAGGTTTTACTGTACTCCAGATCTGTGTTGTCATAAGTGCAAATAAACTTGAATTGCTTGAAATTATGAGTAACTATAATATGCTTCAATTCCAACTTTTTTAATTAATAAATTTCATTTTTTAGAGAAGTTTCACTAGGTTCACAGCAAAAATGAGAGAAAGGTATAGATATTCCCCATATATCCCCTATCCCCACACCACACAATCTCCCCCACTATCAACATCTGCTCCAGAGTAATATATTTCTTATAATCAATGAATCTACAGTGACACATCACATGAAGTCCACAGTTTACATTAGGGTTCACTCTTAATGTTGTGCATACTATGTATGGGTTTTGGCAAATTTATGCTGACATATGAACACCATTACAGTATTGTCAGTTGTACAGAATAGTTTCACTTTTGTAAACCCTCTGTGCTCAGCCTATTCATCTCTCCCTTTTCATCAACCCCTATCTCACAGTTTGTGAGTTCAAGCACTATGTCGGGCTCTGAGCCAACAGCACGGAGCCTGCTTGGTATTTTTCTCTCCCTCTCTCTCTCTGCCCCTCTGAGGCTTGCTATCTCTCTCAAATAAATAAATAAACAAACAAACAAACAAACAAACAAACATTAAAAAAAAGGGACATCACACTAATGAATGAATGGGTTAACCAGGGAATTGAAGAAGAAATTAAAAAATACATGGAGGCAAATGAAAATGAAAACACAACAGTCCAAAACTTTTGGGATGCAGCAAAGACAGTCTTAAGAGGGAAGTATACTGGAATTCAGACCTATCTCAAGAAGCAAGAAAGGACCCAAATACACAACCTAACCTTACACCTAAGGGAGCTAGAAAAGGAATAGCAATAGAGTCCTAAAACCAGCAGAAGAAGGGAAATAATAAAGAGCAGAACAGAAATAAATGATAAAAAAAACAAACAACAACAACAAAAAAAAACAACCATAGAA